ACCCGCGGCTCCCCGGCGTGGGACCCTCCGGGTGAGGCCGGGCCCGGCGGCCGCGTTGAGCAGCGGCGTCCTGGGCAGGCACCAGCCGCGGCAGCGGGGCCGTCTCGGGGAGCAGGGAGTGGGGGGAACCCCGGCCAGCAGCACCCACTGGCACAGGATGGTCACGGGTGGGGCATACACGACCTGGCTGTGGCAGGGCCTGGAGGCACCGTGCCTCGGGCAGAGTTCATGGTGCCCCGGTCAAACCACCGGGTGCTGCAGACAGCCCCGCGCAGCAGCTAGGCACCACCAGCCAAATTCCGTGACTCATAGAGTGAAGGCACCGGAGCCGACAGTGCTGTGCTGCATGCAGGATGTTCCAGCCCGGGACACTGGCCACTGCTGCCAAAAGGTGAGGTAGCTGCTGGTGGGCCTGCTTGCAGACCCTCCCTGGCAGCACTGCGGCCCTGCCTGGCAGCCCCGTGCCTCTGTCTGCGGGCGGATGGGAGCCGAGCTGACACCCAGCACTGATGCTGGTGCAGGTGCCAAGACGGGCCCGGAGTGGGCTCTTTCCACGGTGCCAGTATTTGTTAGGCAGAGCCTGGGGACAGAGGCTCAGCCCGGCCCCTCACACAGTGCATCCCACACCGGGATGCACAGAGGTGGTGGGGCACAGCCCTGCCAGCAGCGAGGCAGCACACGGTGCCATGCACCTGTGACGTGGATCCAGCATGAAGGCTGGCACCTGGGGTCACCTCCCTGTGGCTCTAGGGCAGAGCCCTCAGCAGGGGCTGGGCTCAAGCCCCTGAGCCCTGGCAGCCCCTGTGCCGTGGGGCTGGCTGCTCCTGTGGACAAGTGCCTGGCTTGTGCCACACTCACAGCTTGCTTGCTGCCAACACACCAGGGCCTTCTGCACCCCTGAATGGAGCTGTGAGAGCCTCAGTACGTCAGGGCTTCAAACTCCTGCCATCCACAGCCTCCAGCCAGCAGCACCCATCCCATGAGCTAGGGAGAGCCTGGGCCAAGCCCTGCAGCCCCACATGGTGCCTGAGGCCAGACTGGGCCCAGCCCCCGCGAAGCCCTGGTGCCGTCCCCACACGGCCCCATCACATGTCCCCAGCCCTGCAGCTGAGTGCTGCTCTGCTGTGCTGTCAGGTGGCTGCAGCTGCAGCCCCTTCCCGTCCCTTGGGTGTGGAGAGCCAGGCAGCCAGGTGGGCTCTGTGGCTCCATCCCCAGCCGGGTGCACCAGGGTCTGGCCGGTGCAGGTCTCGGCTCCCCCATGCTTTGAATTGCACCCATCTGCCTGGAACTGCACCTACACCCAGGGCCTGCCCCTGCCTGGCTGGTAGGAGCCAGCCTCAGGATGGGTGTGCAAGCTCAGCATGGAGCAGGCTCCATGCGGGCTGGAGGGAGGGAGGAGAGTGCATCCCCCTCAGAGAGTGCCACAACGGTGGCGGCTGGTTGGCAGAACCCAGACTGGTGCTGGCAGCACACAGGGATGGCTCTGTCCAGCTGCTTGGGGCTGTGGCAGCACAGCTGAGGGGACCAGGGCTCAGGCTCCTGGGTGAGATCAACCACCATGGTCCCACCAGCTCTGCCCTGGAGACCCTGGTCCGGATGGGCAGGGCCCTGCATGAGCCAGATTGTGTCTGCTCGCTGCCTGAGTAGGACGAGCCTGGATGCATGTCTCCACAGGGCACCAATTGCAGGCAGGCAGCAGCATCATGGGACTCCTTGCAGGCAGGACAGGCAGGCTTGTCTCAGACAATGCACAGGCAGATGCAGCCCCATCACAGGCCAGCTCCAGCCCTCAGCTCACCTCATCCCTTCCTGCATCCTCCTCTTTGATGCACAGCCCTGCATGGCCCATGCTGGGAGCCCCGGGAGGATCGTGCACCCAGCACCTGTGCCCCCTGGGTACAGCTCACCCTGTCCCACCATGCAGCAGCAGTGTAGGCACCATCACACCCCATGGAACAGCCACAGTGGGACCTGGTGACCCCCTAAGCCACCATCCACCCTCTGCCAGACCCCCCCTCCCCTCAGCTGGGTAGCCCACCCCCATCAACTCGCACAGCTTAGCACTGCAGTGCCCCAGCCCCATGCACGATGCCGGCACCACGGCCATGCACTCAGCTCCTCGAAGAGGCAGAGAGCGGAGCTGTCGATCTGTCCCCAGGCCCCGCTAGCCTGCCTGCCGGCTGGGATAGCAACACTGGGTCCCCACCCCTGCAAGGGGACAGGAGGGCTGCCAGCAGTTCTGCAAGCACAGGAATGATCCATCTGAAACTGCTTCCATACAGGCCCTGGTGCGGGACGGAGGGCCACAAGCTCGAGTGTCACGAGAATCAAGAGTGAAAAATGCTGTTTATTGGGTGTTCCAACTGTCCGCAGCAGAGCTACAGCAAACCCCATTTTCAGGGGGGGCACACCTGGCCTGCGGCAGCAGGTGCTGCAAGCATGGGGCAGGCAGCCCGGGACGGGGCAGCCCCTCAGCAGCACTGACCCCAGCTCTGAGCAGGGCAGTGCCCAACCCATGGCACTGCCAGCCCTGGGCCTGCACTGGCACCGGCCCAGCACCACTCCCGCTTCTTGCCCCCCCCCCGGATCTGCCACCAGGGAAGGACAGAGCAATGCCTGGAGCAGGAACACCCCATCTGTGGGGCCAGGGGCTGGGCAGAGCTGCTGGACACAGAGCTGCCACAGGCACTGGCTCATCTCGGGGTGGACACGGCCCCATCTTCTCCTTTGTGTCCCTGGAACAGTGAGGGCTGTAGCTGCAGGCAATGGGGTCCCCCGAGGAGAGAGCAGGATGGCTGCTGCCTGCACCCTGCATATCCCAGCCCCATCCACAGCCACAGGTGCCTGTTCCAAGGGCTTTGGAGATGGGGCAGACTCAGGCAGCACACAGGCAGGGGAGGCAGGGAGGGGACACGGCTTCCACCTCACATCCGATTTGCTTTCCAGGAGAGGTAGCAGTTCCAGACGATGGCAACACACTGGACGACGGCCAGCCTGGGGACAGACGGGACAGGGTCCACAGCTGCAGGCTCCAGGAGCCCAGGAGCCGGGGCCATGGCCACATTACTACCTGTGCTTCAGGGGCACGAAGTAGAAGTTTGCGATTTGCACTGGTGGCCAGATCTGGGCAGAGAAGGACATGGCGGTGAAGGGGCCCTGCTGGCACTCCTTCCCCGTGCCCACCTCTGCCTAGGCATTCAGGGCATCCAGCAAAGCCCACGGCGGCCCCCGAGGTGGGGGACAGGGGTGCAGAGGAGCCCAGCCTGGCCACCCCAGCCGGGGGCACAGCCAGCACGGCACCCATACCGGGACAGGGAGGGGCACGGACCCCACCAGCACTTACGCAGTAGTTGGTCAGCAGGGCGTCCGTGTAGTCCTGGGAGAGAAGGGAGGCCGTGAGCACAGAGTGCAGCCCCGCTGCCACCCAGCCGCCCCGGGTGTCCAGCCCTGCCACACAGCTACCCATGGCCCTGGCAGGGGCAGCCGTTTGCACAGCCCCAGGGAGGCCCCAGCATTGGCAGAAGCAGCACAGGAGCATCTCCAAAGAGATGCCTGTGACCCGAGGTAGAGGCAGGCTGGGCTGCAGGCAGGAGCTGAGAGCATGCAGAGGGTCACTGTCCCCTGCCACAATCCCCCCGACTCCACGCCCACTCCAGCTGGGCACAGGGCCACTGCAGCCCCTGCCTGCACCCTTCCCAGAGCTGTGCCCATGTGGGGCAAGTGCAGGGTGGCAGGGAGAGGACTGCCACAACTGCTCCGTCCCCACCAAGAGCCCTTCCTGCCACCAGCGTGGCTGGCAGTGAGCTGGGGTGCCGGCAGCAGACTCAGGCAGAGCAGGCAAGGCAGGGGCAGTCAGCTCCTCGCCCTGGCGCAGGCTGCGAGCTCCTGTCTGGCCCTACATCCCCCAAGCCTCCTCCCAGGCACCGTAGGGCAGGGACGGAGAGGGGCACTGAGCCGGGGCAGCCGCCCCAGAAGCCTGACATGCTGCCTTGTCCTCATGCTGCACCTGTGGCTGTGCCGCAGCCCTGCCCCATGGCAGCACGACAAGTCCCTCATCCAGCCTGGCCGTGACTCAGCCAGGAGCCTGGCCTCCTCCCGGTGCTGGCTGGCAGCCCACAATGTGGAGAGCGGGCACAGGGGTGACAGATGCTCTGCTGACGCTTCCTCTGCGTGGGGAGAGATGGATGTGCCCCAAGCCAGGGATGAAGGTGGCCCCCAGCCCAGCTCCCTCCCAGGGCAGGGCACCAGCCAGGAGCCAGGAATCACCCACAATCATGCCCAGGCCTGGGTGAGTTCCCTTGGGGAAGGCAAGGCAAGGCAAGATACATGGCATGACCGTGTCAAGATGCAGCTGAGACAGATAGGAGCCCCATGCCAAGGGCCAGCCTGCATGTGCCTCTGAGGTGTCTCAAAACACCTCATGCCTTGGTTGCTGCTGCTCTCACAAAGCCAGGAGAAAGAACAGGTAACTCAGTCCTCCCCAGGATTTGCTCCCTGCGCTCCAGGGCAGGACAGGTCTCTGCTAGCACATACTCACAACCTGGTGGGCAGCTGGCTGGTGCCTGGTGGGGCGGGTGCACCCATGCAGAGGAATCAGCTCTGGGCAATGGCACCCTAGGCAGAGCTCCAGCCTGGGGCAGGAGCCGATGGCGTGGCTGGGCAACACCCCCAGCTCACAGCCCGGGGGCAGATGGCCCGGCTGGGCTGGGGCCCTTCACACACAGCTCTGGCAGCCATCGATGTGCAAGCGCTGGTGCTGCGCATCCCCCGGGCAGCCAGGTGACCACCCCCGGTGTACCTCATCTGTGGCGGGTGGCCACCCGCTCCCCAGTGACTCACCCTCTGGACACGCTGACTCAGCTTTCGTGCTGGTTTCCAGCAATTGCTGCTAATAGGAGCCATCTCGGTAATGGCTCTGGAGATGCAGCCAGGAGAGGGGCCAGATGGCGCACAGGCAGCCTGATGGCACCAGGCACCCAGCTGCCCCACCTCAGGTGGGACCCCAGAGAGCTGTGCCATGGGGAGCAGCCCTGACACCAGCACCCGGAGGACTGGCAGCACCAGGCATCTGATGCCCCCAGTGCCCTGGCACACAGCGTTGAGCCCAGCAGGACTGTCCCCGCGCACCCCCAGGCCCCGGCCAGGCAGAGAGCTGCTCCATGCCCTGCAGCAGTGGGGTGGACTCCTCCCCACCCCGACCGTGGGGCACGTGCAGAGCCAGCTCTGTGCTTGGGGTCCCGGGGGAGCTGCAGGCCAGGCTAAGGACTGGAGAGTGATGGCAGAGCTGGGGGCATGCAGTCAGTGCTGGGAGGGGGCTGTGCAGGGACACAGGCATGACCACAAACAGGAGCAGCCGGCAGCGCTGGTGCACTAGCTGGGGCTGCCAAGGTGCCCTGGCTGCCGACAGCCCCATGCTGTCCTGGGGAAGCAGCACATACCTGCTGGATCTTGGACCAGTTCTCCTCCACCGACAGACCGTTCATTGCCCCCGTGATAGCGAGGAAGCAGCCAAGGAAACATGGCGCAAAGGCCCCCTGCAAGAGAGGAGTTGGGGCCCAATGCTGGGGAGCCTATGGTGCCTGGAGCTGGGCCTGCAGCACAGGGCGAGGGGAATGCATGGCGAAGCACAGGGGTGCAGGCCCAGCTTGCCCAATGCCCTGGGGCTACTCCCCAGCACAGAGCCATACTGAGGGACAGGCACCACCATCGAGCCTCTAGAAGGGTCCAAGAGCCGGCCAAGGGTGGCTCCTCTGCAATCCTCTCTGCCCCAGTCCTCCACTGTGTCGGGTCTGGCCCCGGCCTCAGGAGGAGGGCAGGAGCCAGGGCAGCACTAGGGTCTCTGTCCTCAGGAACCACCCTCCGCAGTGGTGCACAGCACTTGCCAGCCTCCCATGCTCTGCTTCAGAAAAGGGAGACAGCAGCTCTCAACAGCCTTAGGAGAGCTGCAGCAGGGGTAAAGCATGGATCCTCACAGATCCCCACTGATCGCCTGAGCACAGCCGGCTGGGCTGGTGCGCTCTGCAGAGACACTCTGGGCTGCAGGGCTGAGCTGAGCTGCCTGATGCCCCAGGGGCTGTGTGCTGCAGCCCAGCGACTCCATGGAGCAGGTCCTGGGCACCATCCCCTGCTCAGCACCCACTGCCCTGAGCTGGGGCTCTAGGAGTGGGATGGAAACCTGCCCACGGACACACGGCTGCACCTACCACCCCGTCCTGCTGTACCAGTCCCGTGCGGGCACCCTCACTCACGTGGCACTGACCTGGTCCAGGACCATCTTCTTCACGGCCACGACTTTTGTGGTCCCCAGGATGAGCTGATCCAGGATCTTGTACCAGCCGCCCACGACAGGGCCCTGCAGGTGCCAGCTGGTGAGGGGCAGCGTCCCACTCTCCCAGGCCATGGGGTGTCAGGGCTGGTGGGTCTCCAGACCTGCTTACAGGGCTCTGCCCTGGCCCTGGAACACAGGGACCAGGGCCTGTCCTGCCTCCCCTCCCCGGGAGTCCTGCACTGCTGTGCCCAGCCCCCCCCACCTCCTAGAGCCCTCCGCCAGGCAACACCAGTACCAGGATGGGGCAGCCAGGGGCCTGCTCCAGCGGGGCAGCTGCAGGGCTTCACGCCTGACACACCAGAGAGGGCTCCGTGGCAGGGGGGATGGCAGCCGTGCCAGCACTGCCCAGGGCCCTCCCTGCCTGAGCCCCCAGTGCAGGGCACTGGGCCCAACACAGCCCTGCTGGAGCACAGGAGCTGATGGGTCAGGATCCGGCCTCGCCACGCACAACAGAGCAAAGCACATTTGCATCCTTGGGTGCGGAATCACCTTTCTGCCAAGTGAAACCTCCCCAGGGGCTGGCACCGGCAGCAGGGATGGGCACAGGTGCCCAGGCTGTGTGGACAGAAGCTGCCATCCCCATCCTGCCCTGCAGCGCAGCTGAGGGTGCCCACAGCTGCAGCTGGGCACAGGGACAGGGTGCTCCTCCTCGAGGGGACCCAGCTCTGCCCGTGGCTGCTGGAGGTGGAACTGGGATGGCCCAGCTCACACCCAGCCACCATAGCCTCACTCTGCTGAAACAGCCCTCTGTCTCACCCCATGACACGTGTGCTGCAAGGACGGGGCAGGGCCCGGGTGCTCACCGCGCGCTGGCACTCACCACAAAGCAGAAGCCGATCGCCATCATCTTCAGGGTCCGGGGGCCGTGGTGCCCACGCAGCCCCCGCCGCTCCACCAGCTGCTGCGCAATCACGTCGCCAGCTCCCATGAGAGCCCCTGCAACCAGCACAGACTGCTCAGGCAGCCGCTGCACGCTGGGGAAGGGTGAGAGCCCCCCAGAGCCCTACTGACAGCCGGGTCCTGCCCAAGAGCTGCCTCTGCCTGCCTCCCCGCTGCCCCTGGGAAGGCCCGAGCCTGCGCTGGCCCCGCAGGGTCCGTCCTGGTGCGCAGCTCCCTCACCACCCTGCACCAAGCCTGCCCGCACCTGCCCCGCAGCACAGGCCCTCCTGCAGCAGCCAAGTGCCTCAGGACGATGCAGCATCTCTGGCCGAAACAATGCCTGGCTGCACTGTCTCCCTGCACCCCTGACACCGAGCTGATCTGTCACCCGGGACCTGCGGTACCCAGGACTTTTGGGGCAGAGCCCACCCAGCTGCTGCCTGCACTGCTGGCCACCCGTGCTCCCTGCCACAGCCTCTCCTGAGCCCAGGCCTTGCGCTCCCCAAAACCGCTCCCTGAGCACCGTACAAACTCTGCTGACTATGATCCCCTTCCTTGGAAAGCCATTCTGCCTGTGCCGCCACCAGCAGCCAGGACAGGCAGGTGAGACTTGCCGGGTGCCAGGGCTGGCCCCAGCTCCTTGCCACTGCCTGGCCGCTGGCACAACTCCTTGTCTTGTTTCCATATCAGTGTGAAGGACCTTCTGCTGTGCACGTCCCCCACAGGGTGCCGCTCAGCTGGGCCTTTGGCAGCTCCCGCTCCATCCTACACTCTTGACCTCTTCGACGCAACTCGGCTGGCCCAGCGCTCCTTCCCCTGGCCTTTATGGGCTCCCTGCTTATTCTCCCTGCTCTTCCCAGGACGGTTCCCAGGCAGGTCTCCAGCCCCACTGCGATTCTGCTCTGCTCTTGGAAACCTTGAATCTAGCAAGCTGTCATCCTGGGGAGTGGCAGCCCCAGCATCCCCCCTCCTCCTGGCAGCCCTGCCCGGAGGGTCTCCATGAGCGATTTCCCATGGACAAGGAGTAGCAGAGCCTTAGGTACGTCCCCAGCAGCCCCCGTCCCCCACTCCCTCCCTCCCTCCCTCCCTCCCAGGGCCATCGGTCTCTCTGCAACAGCCCCCAGCAGTGCTGTGGGGAGCAGGTCCCAGCCAAAGGGCCGCAGACCTCAGGCTGCGGCAGGGGTGCATGCCTGCTGCCTCCCTGGTGCCTGCAGCCGGATTGTGCCTTCCTGCAGGCACCATCCTCAGCTCACATGCACAAGGGGAGAGGCATGGGGGGCCCAGCTCCCTAGCCTGTCGCCCCAGCCACGTGAACCAGGGCTGCAGCTGGCTCCATCTCCCACCCCAGACTAATGCAGCCCCCAGGGGCTGAGGCGCTGTCCCCGGACAGAACCACCCCACCCCTGCCAGCCCACGGGCCCCAGCAGTGCAGGAGCAGGGGGTGGCGACAGGCAAGGGACCCCAGGCCAGCATGGCAGAAGCGCTGGCTGCCTGCTGGCCGCCTGCTTCCCGCAGGCAACCTTCCCACTAGGCAGAGGCAGGCTCCCTCTGCATGGCACTCATTGAGAAACCGCAGCCGGCAGCACCGGTGTTACTCATTTAGTGCTGAAGACTCTGGGCGCAGTGCCCGGTGGTGATGAAGCAACACCAGCACTGCTGGGGGGACAGGCCTGTCTGCGCACCCCTGCCCAGGTCCGGGAGCACAGCCGGATCGATCCCCTTGCAATGACTTCGCTCGCCCAGGCTGGCACCAGTGCCGCTCACCACCCGCACCGCGCCTGCCCAGGGTGACGCCAGCATGGTCCTGCCGCAGCTCCTGTGTGGGGCTGGAGTCCCCAGCTGCACCCCACACCACAAACACAGGAACCGGCCCCCAGCTGACATCGCAGCTCTGACGGGCCCTGCTGCCGCCATTGCGTCCTGCCCAGACTGGGAAGAGATGAGGGACATGGCAGCACCATGCCCACACAGGAGCACTGGACACAGCCGGTAAGAAGGGCAAGGGCACCCCAGCTTGCAGCCGCACGAGCTGCGGGGAGGCACTTTCTCACCTGCTTGGTGCAGAGCGGTGCCACGGTCAGGCAGGAGGCAGCGGGCGGCACAGGGCTGCTGGCCAGGTTGAGGCTGGGAGCCGGGGGGTGCCTGGCTGATCCCACAGGCTGCTGCTCCCATGGACAGAGGACTTTGAAACGGGCCCAAGCCTAAGTAGGCCACACCGTCTACATCCCCCACGGACCTCGCCGGCTGGCAGCTGGAGGCTGCACTGCCACCACAGGGGCACGGGGCTGCTCTCTGCAGGCAGGGACAGCGAGGTCACTGCTGCGGGCACGTGCTGCTGCCCACTGTGCCCAGGCCCTGCTGGCATCCTGGCCCGGGGCCTGGGATGCAGGACGCAAAGCCCTGCCCGACCCCACAGCTCTCGCCACCAGGCAGGACAGGGATTCGGCAGGCGAGTGTGGTTGGACACACCAGGCACAGCCAACTGCCAGAAAACCTCCCTGGCCTGGCCCCAGCCGGCAGCTCTGTTCTGCCCAGGGAAATGGCAGCACCAGGGGAACGGCAGCACCAGTGGGTCTGCGAGCAGCAAGCGAAAGCAGGGCTGGAATCTGCCCAGCCCTCCTATGGCTGCCTAGCACAGGGCCCAGGAGAGCCTGCCTCCTCTGCACGGACAACGGCATGGCCAGCAGTGAGAGACTGAGCCCTGCCTTGGATGGAGGAATTCCTTGCTGAAGGTACAAGAAGAGGAAAGCTTGGCCTCCAGCAGCGCTGCCCCTGGGGAACAGCCATATTCCCACTGTCACGGCCTCGCACACAGGCAGGGATACATCCAGACCCGAAGGCAGAGCCTCTTCTCAGCCGCAGGAGCCGCATCCAGCACTCGGCCACTGAGAGCGGCTGTGTACCCCCATGGGCACAGCCCAGCATTCACCAGTCCTGCCAGGGCCCCGGGGAACTAGGGAGCTGTACCTCAGCATGGCAGGGCTAGCTCTAACATGAAGAAGCAAGAGGTAGAGCTGGAGCCCAGAGCCAGCCTGGGGCTGCGGGCTGCACCAAGCCTGCCACAGCAGTGGGCAGGGGCTGCTGGGGAGGGTGAGGGCAGGGGCTGGTCCTGGGCAGCCCTCCCAGCTCCATCTTGGCTTCGCTCCAGGAACCAAGACAGGGATGCACAGCCCAGCAGTGCACAGTGCAGCAGGTGCCAGGCAACAGACTCCATCAAATCAGATAAAAATACCAGTGAAAACAGTGAGGTGGCCTGACAGGACCCCAGCAGCCTGGCAGGCAGGGCAATGTGCCGTCATCCCCATGGGCAGCAGGGAGGAGGGCCAGCGGCTGCACGCCGAGCTGAGCCCCCTCGCCCCAATGCCAGCTCCTCGGCACAGCAGGACACCCCCAGACTCCACAGTTGTGCTTTTCCAGCATGCTGGGCTGGTTACTTGCAAGCAGCACAGCAGGTGGGGGAGCAGTGGCAGCAGGGAAGGCCACAAGCAGGAGATGCAGAGGGGAGTACACCAGGACCCTGCTCTTGGCCAGCCTATGCCACGTACACCCCTGCACAGCTCTGTGCACATGCAGCACAGGCAGGATGGGCTCTCCTGCCAACCAGCCTCAGCCCCGCAGGGGTGGGGTGGGCAGCTGGGTGGCAGAGCTGTCTGTTGCTCAGGTCTGCAGGCCCTGGGCCAGGGCAGGCAGAAGCACCCCTGCCTGCAGCAGCTGCCCACACACGGAGAGCGTCCTCAGGGCACGCAGAGTCGCCTGCCAGCGCTGGGGCAGATTTATGGCACCTCCCAGCCCTGCAAACAGCAAGGCTGTTAGGGAGATTAAATCACCCCATGCAGGGCCCCAGGAACCTTTTGGGGGCAGGGGCTAGCCCCAGGCAGAACCTCTGCACCCGACTGAAGCAAAGGCCTTCGTCCCCGAGCACTGGCAGCCCACCTGGGGGAGGCTTGACCCCATGCTGCACTGGCTGCAGCCTACTGAGCCCCCCAGTGCCACGTCCCAGCATCCATCCCTGCCCAGGGGGGAGGAAGGCACCCAAAGCAGCCTCCCCCCCGGGTTTTGGGGTGAGTCCTGGAGCTGTGGGAGGTTGCTCCAGGGCCGCACCTCTCTAGAGCCTCCCGTTACCCCTCCGGCTCCAGCACGGGCCCCCCAACACAGATCTCCTGAGCCCAGAGTGGGCCCAAGCCCTCCACCCAGTGGGATGCTCGGGGGACCCTGCTCCCCGCTGAGCCTGGGAGAACGGCAGCACCTCCTCCCCCCTAAAGACGGAACCCTGAGGCACCGGGAAACCGCCCCCCCCCCCCCGCTTGTGGGGCTCCTGCCCTGCTTCCCACCGGGGGTGACAATGCAGCCCCAAGTTACCGCGGTGAGGGGCTGTGCCCCGGGGGCGGGGGCACACAGGGTGCCCAGTTGCAGGGGGGGGCCGGGGCCCGCCCCGGCCGCGGCCCTTACCGGCGGTGAGCGCCTGTGCAGCCCCGGGCGACCGCGCCAGCAGCCGCCGGCAGCCCCTCCACAGCCCCGCCATGGCCCGCCCGGCGCGGCGCGATGACGGCGCGGCACGATGACGCCCGGGCGCGGCAGAGTGACGCGGTTTATTGGCTCAGTAGCGGCCCAGGACGGTGGCCAGCAGCGCCATCCGAATGTACATCCCGTTCTCCGCCTGCCGGAAGTACGCGGCGCGCGGGTCCGAGTCCACCTCCACGCTGCGGAAGTGACGTCAGCCGCGGCCACCGCCCCCGGGAGCCC